TGTTAATCTGTCTATTGTTGATCTATGTATAGATTTTAAAATTACCAAATCTTCAGGGAGAAAACAATAAATTTAAAACTTCCCTACATAGCCATAGCCCCAAACAATCCAGTTTTAGCCCACATGATAAAGGCGCTCCAACTTATCCTTGCAGGGACAGTAACTGTGGATCAGCTAGTCTGCCTTTGTTCTGTTCCTGCTTTGCTCACCCCTTTTCTGTCTTAAAACCAGCTTCTTCTGCTCAGTGCTCCAGAATCACTCTAGAAGCTAAGCTTTATTGTAATTTTCTCTCTTGACAATAACATAGTGATGTTTTTAAAAAGATAGTTGTACATATGTATTTACTTAACAGGACCAAAACAGATAATGTGAAACCTGACAGAACAAAGAGAAAAAAGACAAATTATCAGAAATTTCAACTCTGGGCAGTCAATAAGGAGATAATAGAATGAAACAGCACCATGATCAACTTGTTCTAATTGTCATTTGTAGAAGTTTACTTGGAGTATTCAACAAGACAGAGCACATTCTGGTCCATAAAACAAACCTTAGCAAATTTTAAAGAATGGAAATTATGCAAACTGTTCTCAAACTGGAAATCAGTAACACAAAGATAGCCAGAACCCCCAGCGTGCACACACACACACACACACACCCAATATCTTGTTTTCCCAAGATTTCACTCTTTGGGTAGAATAGGAAATATATTTTTGTCCTTATCCTTGGTTCCTGTTAATGAGCTCCTAAAATTCCAGGAATTTCATGAGTGCAGGACATATATTTTGGTATTAATAATAAGCCTCTTCGATAACTCCTGAGTTTATGCCGATGCAGTTACTTAGGATGAGGCTGCCCACAGCCTCAAGGTGGGCCTGTAACTGATGCTGTAAAAGAATACTTAAACTTTTTTGGCTGAGTACGTAGCAACACCCATCTACCCCCTTTTTTTGAGCCCAAAAGAAGTGACAGGATATACAGATACCAACTCTAGGAGGCCAGGAGCCTGGTTTGTTTTTCACAAGAAAGGAGAATGAGCTGAAGATGAAGATGGCTAGAAGTGATACAGCAGATGTAAAGATCTGCATTATCTCTCTGTGCCCTGTCCCATCTGGCCATACTTCTGTATTCTCTGTAATGTTCTTCTTACAAGCGAGCACACATGTTCTCTGAGTTCTGTAACCTGGGGGTGGGGTCTGACTTTGTCTCCAGGTAGATAACATTAGAGCTGGGGAACACCACGCAGAGAATCCACAGAAGGACTATTTGGTGCAAGAACCACTCCCAACCCCCCTACAAGCTGCTGTAGAGGGGAAGCAACTTGGTTTCATCTCTTCACCATCCTTTTGATAAGGTCTATGGTATAGGAGGGCCAATGGGGTGGGCCAAGCTGGTGAATTTCTTTTTCCTGGATCATTTAGCACTTCGCAGAACTTGAGGAAGCACCTGTTGAGTGAAATTATCTGTCTGCCATTGAAGTTCCTACAAGGCCTTTAGCTTCAGATAAAGAGATAAGGTAGCTTATGCATGTCTTTGAGAGAAGATAGCAGGAATGAATGGACCTTAGCTCAAAAGGTTTGTTGCAAAAACTGCCCCCCAACAAATGTAATCATCATGTACTGCAAATATGTCCCCCCACAAGAAAAATAATAATAAGGAAAACAAAGCTTTATTGCTTAGGACTACTTATGGAGGATGTCTTTAACTGAAGTTCCTTTGTTAAAGGTTTTAATCCTTTCTGTTGCCAAGGGTAGGTACTACATTCACTCCAATGTGCATTTCATGTCGCATTCACCAGTCACCTTCAGATAGCGCTGTGAACTTCATGTGTGGGGCAGGTACTTAGAATACACAGCATTGTCACTGTACTGCCTCTGATCAACCAGAACAATGACTTCCAGATACTGGAGATTGACTTATTAGATTGGATGATGCCCAGGAATCTGTATTTTAAAGCTACTTCATACCCCTCAGGTTTCTCCTCTTCCCATGATTCTGATGCTCACTTTGGAGGCCAGTGGCCTGGAGGTTTCTAAAAGAACAGAGGTGTTGCCCACGAGTTAAGAAGGATGACCCTTGAGTGGTCATCAAAGGAAGAAGCCAGCCTCAGAGACCAAGTGGTGCCTGTTAGATGAGGTACCCAGAATAAACAGGGAGACAAATGGAATAGATGGGTAGTTTTGGGGGCTGGGAGTAGGGGATGGGAGTGGCTGTTAATGGATGTAGAGTTTCCTCTTTTGGTGATAGAAATGCCCTGACCTTCCATTGTAGTGACGTTGCACAGCTATAAATACACCAAAACTCATTGGTTTTCATACCTTAAAAGGGTGACCTCAAAGGTGTTTTTAAAAATAGGCAATAAGAAGTGAAGAAGACAAAAATTTTTTTTTCAAAATTAGGAGGGGATAGTTGGGAACCAAAGAGAAAATGCAAATTGGAAACTGAGAAAGAAACTTTTTAAATATCCTTTTTCTTTATTTTATTCAGACACACAAACACCTGATAATCTAGGTACCTGAGAGACTCCTGGAACTTCCACACCTGGAATACTGTCCTGTAAAAGAAAAAGGCTTCAGGGAAAAATCCATTGTAGGTTCAGAAAACACTGGTTGCTGTTGCTGTAGCAAACTGGATGAAAAACGCTTTGCACCAGGAATTTGGAAGGCAGCTTTTATTAACACCAGCGGGCTGGGTCCAAATCATCAACACTGGCCTAAAGTAAAACAGCAACTTATATACATTTTTGTAAGCAGGAAGGCAAAGTTGATAAAGGGTTAGTTTACAATTGGTTACATATATTGAGTCATACATTGCCAGGCAAATGTGTCTGACAGTGTCTCAATTGGAGGCAGTCATCAGGAGGCAGATCAGGGTCCCAGGCAAGCAAGCAAGATTTAATGTGACCTTGACAAAGCTAGTCTGCCCCAGATGAATAGTCCTTGAAGTAAGCCAGCAAGACAGAATATTTTTGTAGGCCATTGAGCGATGTGTTGGATAGGGCTAAGTCTGTTTTATCTCTGAGCTGCAGCTGTGTAGTCAAGGCCGGTTGAGTCTGATGGACCAATTGAGAGGCTGTAGTTTTAAAATTTTCCCACTACAGTGGGAAAAACCAGCTCCAGGACTCCCTGGATCTGATAGTGTAGCTGGAGGAGACTTTCAGAGTAAATCCCACCAGAGACCAAAACTCAGCAAAATGTTGGAAAGGAATTTTACTGTGAAAAAAGGCAGCTAAACTTCATATTTGACAGATTTGAGGAAATAATCCCAACTGAGGTAACTGATGTCCTGCCCCATTGGCATAGGCTCAGAAGATGCGTAGATGCAGGCATACAGATGAGAACACAGGCAACCTTCACCGGTGTTCTTGCACACAGTAACGAGAGGCTCAGTTTTGTAAAAATCATAAAGAGCCTCATCATTTTCCCCCTGTGGCTTTCTCAGTTCTTTCAAATTTAATTCATTCTTGCTACATGAATCCAGGAGCTTTCCTATGTGGTTATAATGAAGAAAAATTGGTTTATTTTAAAGGGCTGTCCTCTGTCTCCAAGGAGCGCAATAGTTTCTGCCCTGGCCAAGCACACTCCCCAACCCCTCTTCAGCCACAGCCACACTTTGATATGCCAGTGTGGGGGCGAAGCCTGCCCACCCTCCCTCATTTTAGGTTAGATTCCCTACCTGCATAAGACTGGCCAAATTTAGAGTTCTACCATTTTTTAATACATCTGCCTTTGTTTTGGGCTTGTTTTCTTGCCACAAATTTAGTAAAAAACCTTGTGACACTATCTTTGTGGCTTAGAATTTCTGAGGTGAGAGCCTCTTTGAGCCAGGCTAGCCAAATAAAAACCTTTCTCCACCTTTCTATAGTGTACTGCTGTTTCCTTATACCATCTGAAAAAAAGACTGGTATCCTGTCTACAATAATAACTGTTTGGATTCTTTACTGACTTTAGTTCTCATCATAGCAGTCTACAACAGTTTTCACGTTTCTAGTCAACTCTGTTCCCCAGAAAATGAGTCTTGGCAAAATAAGATATCTATTTACTGGAGTGCTAATTCAAATCTGACCCTTATTTTACAATTTGAAAACAAGATCATCTATTCTCAATGTGTTAGAAGTACTGTAGTGAGGGGGCTGGTAGGGCACAGGTTGGAGGCAAGGAACAAGGCGTATTTAGGAGTATCTTCTGTGGGGAGGCTGAGTCCGGAGAAGCTGAGTACTTTGCACAGGATAATGCTGTTGGCTCAGCTGAGCATGTCTGATTTCAAAGGCCATGGTCTTTCACAATTGCACTTCACTGCCTTACTTGGGAAAAATTGTTTTTGTATATATGAGATTATTTAATGTATCTTATAATTCTTAATTCCATGGATGTCAAATCAAATAATAAAGCATTGGTATGTGCTTTTTTTCTCTTCACCCATGATATAAGGGGAAAAAAAGATAAACCCTAAGCTGTCTCATCTCAGCCTCCAGTAAAGTGTGATTTATAGCTTTATGTCACTTACTTGCAAGACATCCTAGGCTAGGTGGTACTGATGTAACTTCCCATCACACCTGGACTTGTGTGATGGGGACTGATTTCCAGGAGCTCTGGTACATCCAGGCACATCTGGTGCATCACATCACAGTTTCATGTGATTCCTGTGACATCCCTGGGCCAAAGTCCTCACTGCAGTAGGCCTGGGGTAGAGTCTGAGAGGGAGTCATGTGGGGTTGTGTGGCCACAACACCCAGTCCCAGGTCTTGTGCTGTACGGCTTCCAAGTGAGCCTGTAAACACCAGCCTTCATAATGTCTGCAGGACAGTTTACTATGTCCTATTTAAAGGATGCATGTTAATGAAATTTAAAAGTTATAGTGCCTGAAGACTGTACCTTAACATTTCCTGTGCAGTAGGTAGCAGTATTGTCTTTTTACATCCTAGCAGTCGATGATTAATATTTAAGTGGATTGGTTTAAAATGGGAACCTATGTATAACATACTTTTTCTTTTCCAAACTTAGTCTCTGTAGAAGGTGCAACTCATCTCCATCCTTCAAAATGCAGTGGAACGTACTACGGACTGTGTCTTGGCTGGCACACAGGACATGCCTGGAGTCACAGACAGCTGGGCTGTTTGGACAGCATCAGCACATGAAGGGACCATTGCTTTTGCAGTATGCCAAGTCCAGAGCAGTTTGGGCACACAGCCCTCAGGAGCGGTTGCTGCGCTTACCTGCTGCCCAGTGCCTGGCAGAGGAACGAAAGCCATTAGCCACACAGCCTCCCCAGCCTGGGGTTCTTCACCACGAACGATGGGTGTGGGATGTTTCATCTACCAGGGGCTTATCATCCAGCACCACCCAGGGAACACCTTCAGAAAAAAAGGAAGAGCCTGATCCTTTACAAGACAAATCTATTAGTCTTTATCAGCGATTTAAGAAGACATTTAGACAATATGGGAAGGTTTTGATTCCTGTGCATCTAATAACTTCTGGTGTTTGGTTTGGAACTTTTTATTATGCAGCCATAAAGTAAGTTTTTGCTTCTTTGGCCACTTTTGTTTATCAGTGTTAATCTCCTTCATTGTTCTGCTGGTTGAAAGCTTTAAGTTTTTTTAAATGCTTCTGTGTCTTTCTTTAATGGAGGACAACTACTCTCTGAAGCTATTTTTTGTGTTTTAAGGTGAACAGCTAACACTAGCTTAGTGTGGAAGGGAATTGTGCTAAACTGTGTGTCGCCTCATTTAACCCTCAGTGACCGTATGAAGCACGTAGTATAGTGTTTCCCACTTGATGAGTGAGAAGACAGTCTAGGCCAGAGGAATTGGAAAGAGCTTGAGGGTGGGAGGTGGAGACTGGGCTGAAAACCTTGTTAGCTCGTTCACAGGTACAAGGACCACGGAGATGAAGTGCTGATCTTGGAAACTAACCAGCACCACAGATTTTGTACTTACACATTTCTTAAGAGCTTACAAATGTAAGCAAGTAGCTGTTTTGCTATATGATTGACTAGGGTGGGAAATTCATAAGGTACCTTTTGGCAGAGCCTGGCTGCTATCAGGAAAACACAAAAATGAACAGGTTGCAGTCTTGTGCTTTGATACTCCTCACTTCATGACTTTAAGGTCAGGCCTTCCAAATTTGCCTGGTGGCCTGATCCCCAGTGCTGTGGAACATAAAGTTTCTAAATACCTCACTTTTAAATACAGTTCCTTCCTCTAGGTAAGTAATGCATCCACCTTGCTTAGGAGCAGCGGCACCAGTGCTCTGCCCAAGCCGTACTCGGCCCCTTCAGTCAGCTCTTCCTCTGAGTTCACTGCTGTCATACTTTCCAGAATGCATTGCTATTCATGGATGATACTGAATGCCTTGAGATGAAGGCATTAATGGACTAGAACAGTTGTCTGTAAAGCTTATCCAGGCAGAAGTTTTTTCACTTCCCAGAATGGTGGTTGGAGACGGTGCTTGTCTTAGGAAGCATAGGCTCCTGGAGATTTGTGTACACAGTCTCATCTTACCTGGTGCACTCTGAGCTGCTCACTTCTCTCCATTTCTCCATTCTGCTCTTTTACTCATTGTGTCATTTGCTGTGTTTTGTCTTTAGGAAGTGTGCCTCTCTATGGAAGATGCAGGGTGTATGTCATGGAATCGCTTTAGGATATGTTTGATATTTATAAAAGACTTTTGAAATGCCCTTAGTGTTTTTTTAATTAAGTTTATTGATAGATTGTAAGTATACATAATGATCACATTCGTCACAAGGATTTGTACCTGTACGTGATACAACTTGATTCTCTTTTTTCCCCATTCCCTTACCCTCCCTTCAACTCCTCTTCCCCTCCTTATTTACAAAAGCTTTGTTTCCATTTTTCCTTCTTTTCTCATTTTCTTCTTTTCCCTTCCTTTCCCCCTCACCTCTCCCTAGTTCCACTCCCCATTTGAACATTTTCTTCCTATTTTACAATATCTATTATACATTTTGGTCCTTATTTACACTTTCAGAAAAACACCACCAGAGGAACAACACAGTATTTACACATGTGTGTCCAGTTTATCTCACTTAATAGTATGGTCTCAAGGTGCATTCATTTACCTAGAAATGTCTCAAGTTTATCCTTCTTTATGACAAAGTAGTACTCCATTGTATTTTTTAAAAACACATCATATTTATCCATTCATTGGTTGATGGGCATTTGGGCTATTTCCAGGATTTAGCTATTACAAACTCTGCTGCTATAAGCATGGGTGTGCATATATCACTGTGGTATGATGTTTTTAGACACCAAGTGTCTTGGTTACTTTTCTCTCGTTGCTGAGACAAAATACCTAACATCCAAAATTAAGGAAGGAAAGGTTTATTTTGCTTATAGTTTGTGGAGGTTTCAGTCCATACTTGGCAGATTAGAAGGCAGACTGGCACATGGCAGAAGGCTACAGCTCATGGCGGCAGAACACAGCTGAATCAACAAACACACACAAGGGAGGAATGGCCTCAAGCAGCCTCTTCCTCTCCCTTACATATGCAAACTGTCCACCCCAGGGTGGGTGTAGCTCTCACACCCGTAATCAATCAAACTCTAAAAACCTGCCCCATGGCCGCATGAGGCTTTAGAGGGACACACAGACACAAACCGTAACACCAAGAAAGAGAATAGCTATGTTAAATGGAACCTGTAGTCCTAGTCTGTTGATGAATCTCCAGACTGATTTCCACAGTGGTTGCACCAGTCTACACTCCCACCAACAGTGGAGAAGGGTTCCTTTTTCCCTACAGCCAAGCCAGCATTTATTATTGGTTGATTTCTTGATAATAGGCATTCTTTCTGCAGTAAAATGGAACCTCAGCATTGTTTTAATTTGCATTTATCCAATGGCCAGTGATTTTGAACATTTTTCATATATTTACTTGCCCTTTGTACTTCTTCATCTAAGAAGTGCCTATTGTTTTCAGATGTTCATTTTTGAATTGGTTTTTTAAATTGGGAGGGTTCCTTTTTTTTAAGTTCTTTATATATTCTAGATAATGGTCCTTTGTCTGAGGAAAAGTGACAAAAAATTTTTCCCACACTGTAGGTTGTCTTTTCACTCTGTTGGTAGTTTCTTTTGCTGTGCAAAAGCTTTTTAATATGAGAGCCTAGGTGTTGATTCCTTATGATAGTTCCCGTGCAATTGGAGTTTTGTTCATGAAGTCTTTGCCTATACCAAAGTCTTCAAGCATTCTACCTGTTCTGCCCAGGAGATTTAATGTTTCTGTTCTAACATACAGATATCTTTGATGCATGTAGATTGTAATTTAGTGCATGGTGAAAGATGTGGGTCTAGTTTTAATTACTGATATGAACAGGTTTTTCATGCCATTTGCACTGTCTCCTGCTTTTTCATTGACTCTGATGAATCTTACATTATTCTTCTTTGCATCATCTAGCAGCTGTTGCATTGTTTTGTAGTCCTTTGCTATTTTTAAAAAATCTTTCATTGTCGCTAACCACAAACCTGTTCTTCCTACTCCTAACATCTCTCCCTGATTCCACTCTGTATTTCTACCTTGGATTTCTCACACTGCCAATACCATCCTGTTTTTATCATTGTAGCTTTGTTCCCCTGCATTGCTTTTGCTATTCTAGGTCCCTTCTGGTTATATATGAACTTTAGGATTGTTTTCTCTAGTTCTGTGAGGAATGGTACTGTCATTTTGATTGGGATTGCATTAAACCTGTATAACAGTTTTGGAAATACGGTCATTTTCACTATATTGTTTTTGCCTATCCTAGAACAAGGGATATCTTACAATTTTCTGATATCCTCTTCGATCTCCTTTTTCAGGATACTATAATTTTTATTGTAGAGGTCTTCTATTCCCTTAGTTAGCTCCTAAATATTTCATTTTTCTTGATGCTATTAAATGTAGATTTCATACAGTGGGCTTAGTTGGAACTAGGAAACAATTCATGGCAGAGTAGTGCTCACTGGATATAAATACTTTGCACACCTGTCATCCCAACACTCCATAGGCTGAGGCAGGATCACAGGTGTGCTGGAAAATGAAATTGGCATGTTAAGGAAGGATTCTGCTATACAGCGTTATCAGTAGCTTGATGAGATTGTGGAAAGGCTGAGCAGTAACTAAGTCACAGTTGGATTTTGTTACCTCTAAAGAGAGCAAAGATTGAAAGTACTGATCAACAAAACCAGATTAGGCTTATACATGATTTTTTTTAAAAAATTTACCTCTTTAAAAGTTCCTCATACTGTTCTGTTGTCCTCTCCCTTTTGATGATAGATAACTTTAATGGTCCATGGTCCTTTCTTTGTGATTATCAGTATCTCTGACTGCTAATTATTTTGGTGAAATCTGGGACTCCTTTTCCCCAGTTGACCAAATCATTTTTTAATACTAAAAATAAATTAAAAGTTTAAATCTGTCATGATTATGAGTCTAGGCAATTGCCTTTCTGAATGACAAAGGAAAGACCCAGTCACAGTAGAGCTACCTGAGGCCTCCCATGGCCAAGGGACACGCAGGAACACCGGGAATGGGGTAGAGGGATGTGTGGTGCTCCCACCATGAAGCATCAAGCCAGTGCCAAGTCAGTGCTAGGACACAGCCCCAGGTGTCACTACCGTGTGGGAAAACATTCATGGAGTCTGTGACGAGGAAGCCACCAGATAAGCCCACCTGGGCCAGGAGCTGCCAGGATACCTCAAGAGCACATCCAGAGTTGCCTCAGCCCCACAGGCAGCAGAAAATTGCTTCTAGGGAGAGGGCACAGTAGAGAAGTCACAGGAAGTTTTAATGTAATGATTGTGTGTTAAGTTTCCTGATGGGCTGATGGTACTGTGTAGGTGAAGTCTTTGTGCAGATTGAGGTGTGGAGGGGTCACAGGGGCTGTAAAACTTACGGTGAGCAAGGATGGTAAGCTCTCCCACAGTGGCAGGGGTAGCACAGTGTTGTCAGGCAGGAAGCTGAAGTTGGACTTCCAGCCTAGCTTAGCTCAGAGACTTATGCCAGCCCTCCCTCCCTCCAAGAATTTATTGCAATTTATCCTAACTGTTCTTTACCCACCTAAGTCTAACAATAGAAGCAGCCTTTTAGAATAACTGAAGATTTATCAGGTCCACAGAGCCATTTATTCCTGCATAATAGCACACTATCAGTGGTACAGTAATCCTTGATGTACGAACATTTGAGTTGCAAATTTTCATAGCTGAACAGACCTCACATTAGGAACATTCACAGATGCAAGCAAATTGCAGAAGTAGCTCAAGTGTCTGCCAGACGTCATCACAGTTGTGCTGCTGTACAGTTCGATATGGTACAGTAGTGCAGTACTCAGTCAGAGCCCAGGATGTCTGGAAGAAGAGGAAAAGCTGGTGGTATGGAGGGGATGCTAGGAAGTGCAAAGCAGTGTACACTGTATATTGGTGTCAGAGGTATAAGGGACTTACTGTACTTAAATATCCCTGCTTTACAGTAATGGTCTACCCTGTTGTGAATTTTAAAGGCAGGAGTAAAAATTTGAAGTCTTGAAATATGAGTTGGAGCATTCTAAGGAAGTGGTATGAGGTAAGGAAACAAAGGTCAGATAAATTATTCTGACCCTGTTCTCTTAGTTTAAGGTTATTAATTTTGCTGTAGTGGTTCTACTCCTCCCTCCTCCGGTACTGGGTATTAAACTCATGTCCTTGCACGACTGTGCCAGCATTTTATTTTATTTTATTTTATTTTATTTTAATTTTGAGACAGACTGTCTAAGTTTCCCAGGCTGTCCTTGAACTTGTGATCCTCCTGCCTGAGCCTTAGTTTCTAAATACACTAATACTTCATGAAGATGGTAAGATACAACTTAACATTGATGCCTCTGGGTATACTATTGTTCAAGTAAGATATTCTTAGAGTGAAATGAAAGTGTGCGGTAACACACGATTGGCTTATAAACTATAACCAGCACAAAATATGGTAATGTCTTGAAGATATTTATCCTTAAAATCTTATTTATTTGAAACTTTCTTTGTTTCTTTCCTAGAGGAGTGAATGTCGTTCCTTTTCTAGAGCTCATTGGGTTACCTGACAGTGTTGTGAATATCCTGAAAAACTCCCAGAGTGGAAATGCCCTGACGGCTTATGCCATGTTCAAGGTGGGTGCCGCCAGCTCACTCCCCAAAGAACTTTTATGAGCTCATAATGCTTGTTTTTAAACTTAAAATATTGTATTGCACCTTTCATGTAACATTTTCAAATGTGGATACAGTGAGGCTTCAGGAGGCGGCATCTTGTGTATAGCCAGTGCTTGATCCTCCACGGTACACTGTGCGTGTGTGGCCAAGGTGATGGCCGCATTCTGTTTTTTATTATTATCTTTTTTAAAGACTTTTTTTTTTTAAATAAAAGAAGGAAAACATATTAACAAACAGACATATATTTTCAAAATAACTCGAGATGTCACATTCTTGATGTTTCCCCTGTTGATGTTTTGTTTTGCTTAATCAGATCTTCATGTCACCCAACTTCTTAGTGACAGTTAATGTTTATTTTACTGTTTCTAGTAGTTCATCTTTTCTTACCAAGTAAAGTAGTAAGGTTTAATAAAACACAAATTGGTTTTTGTGGTGTTCCTTGGGCCCGGTTGTTATAAAGTTTGTACACCTGTGAGTCTTTAGTTTAGAAGGGAAGACTCATAAACTGTGGAATTTAGCCATGTTAATGCCATTTTTTACAACAGAGAAAAGTCTTATGAGGACCTATGATGCTTCTATTTGAGAAAGAAAAAACAAGTAGAAAATGCTTGGAACCTAGATGTTATTTTATTTTACTTCAGTTGTATAAAAATTCCTAGAATTACAGTTTATAGTGTTATTCAAAAGTAGAATCCTCTGGAATGCTGGTGTATTCTCTCTTCGGTTGTAATTTTGTCTAGATAGTTAAAGTGTAAGTGTTGAGTGATTCTACATTAAAATGTATTAAATTAATAAATCGTCAAGTTCCTAATTACTACAATGGGCACACGTGAACTGTGATACTTGGGCTGCCTGATGGTGATGTAACCAACCCTGCCCCTGTGCCCACCCTCCTGTGGCCCACAGCCCAGCTCTGTCGGGCCCAGGCGTTGAGACCAGGTCTTGAGACCTGAGTTTCTGTGGTTACATACAACCCCTGGAAACTCAGGATCCTGCCCTCCTCCCATGTGTTTGCACTGGGCCTGGGGTGGGTGTGAGGCTATGAACGGAGGCAGGCTGCCACACTGATACCCATCTAGGGACACGTGGGCTGCCCCGTGTGCTTACAGAAACGCATGTTCTAACAGGGACAGCAGGCACAGCAATGTCCTGCTTCCTCCGTCAAAGCCGGTTTGGGGTTTGTCAGAGGTGAGGTGAGAGAAGCGGGCCCTGGGGCCGGTGGGGCAGTAGGAGATGCTGATCATCCTGTCCCAAGCCTCATTCACATGTGGCCGAGGGCGCATCTGGGCCAGGTTGTGCGGGGACAGACATTCACAGAATGTACACAGGAGAGAGCCCCCCCCCCGTGAGACAGTGAAGCATTTACACTGACTGGGTATTGCTCAGTACTAAACTCCAGCTTAATTTTAGTCATAATCACACGTTGATCTGCCTGGTTGCTTTCTTTTAAAGATTGCAACGCCTGCCCGCTACACGGTGACCTTGGGAGGAACGTCCTTCATGGTGAAGTATCTGCGTGGTCGTGGCTACATGTCGACCCCACCACCAGTCAAGGAGTATTTGCAGGACAGGATGGAAGAGACCAAGGAGCTCATCACGGAGAAGATGGAGGAAACCAAGGGCAGACTCACAGAAAAATTGCAAGAAACCAAAGAAAAAGTTTCCTTTAAGAAAAAAGTGGAATAGGGTGCCTTATATAACACAACTTACAGGCATTTCCTATGCTTTAACCCCCTGGAGACTTTGGGCAAAGATACATGCTTCTAAATAATTTTTTGGTTAGCTGCCAAAAAATACCAGTTCTCTGCGGGTTACAGAATTAAGATACCTTTTTAAAGTTAAATATCACTAGAAAAATCAGTGTTTTTTTAAAAGGAAGTGAACCCAGCATAAGAATCTTGCATTGTAGAAGCAATAAGCAGTGGATAATGTCTTTCAAACCAGGGCTGTCTTCCCAAGCCTGCAGGGTCACACTCGTGCTACTGTTTCCCACCAGCTGTATTGTGTGCAGGCAAGGCAGTTGGCACTTGGATAAGTGGGCACTTGGTATGACCTACCCACAGCCACACTATTGACACTGGGTCCTAGTCTTTCTGTTACTCACCAAGGTTTAATGCATTCACTTGTCCATGGGGAGCCACCTTTCACTCACTCCCCAGGCTGCCTGTGAATAGGAGGGGAACTTAGGCTTTCTATAAAAAGCATCTAACACTTACCTACCATTTAAAATAGAGACGTTGTATGAAGAAAGTTGAATAAAAATTCAGTCTTGTGTATGCAAATTAGACGCATTGGTTATACATAAATGAAAAACAAAGCCTTCGAGTTTTTATCTGCAGCATGTCAGAGTCACATTTTTAAAGCAAATCATGGCCATAGAACTTTCCAAGTGGGTATGTTGATAATGATCACTAGAACATTGAGATTTTTAAAATAATTTTTTGCTGCTTTAGCTGACTTTTGGAAGAAGAGTGACTCAAGTGTGAGGTTGTCCAGCCCCTGGAGGTTTAGGTAACCCCATGGTGCCAGGCTGCCACAGGGAGGGCAGTCGCTGCACAGGAAGTGTGGCACTCAGCATATCTTTGTGGTTTCCCAGCACCTTCATCTGAGTTATTGTTGATTCATTATGGAGCAAATCTTAAAATTGTGACCACTGTGATTTCTCTTATAGTGAAGGAAGATGACCTTGCTCAGGCACTTAATTGTTTTAACATGTTCCCAATAGGACTGTAATTTATGTCTTGCTGCTGGGTGGCTCGAGCTAGCAGGAATATGTTAATAGCAAGTTTGCTGTTAAATTTTCTGCTTTAGCCAGGCATGGTCATACATGTCTGTAATCCCAGCATTTGGGAGGCTGAGGCAGGAGGATTTCAAGCTTGAGGCCAGCCCGGGTTACATAGTGAGATCCTGTCTCAAAAAAATGAAATCAAACAGAAAACCTGCTTGAAATGAAATTCAGCAATTGCCAGAGAGGAAAGTTACTGGGACTGGGGGTATATTTTGCATTAACAACTTTTACTTCAGTTCTGACCCTTGGATTGGTTTGGAGGAGGAAATATCCTCTTTAAATATCCCCCTGCTACAAGGGATGGTTAGAGTCTTTGCTATGTAGCCCATAGCTGTCCTGCCCAATCCCTGCTGTGTGGCAGGGATTTGTTTTTCTGTACTATGGGACTTGGGTCTTTGCACTGAACTAAATCCCCAGCCCTTTTTCCACTTTTTATCTTGAGATAAGGTCTTGCTAAATTGCTAAATTGTCCAGCCTGGGCTTGAACTTTCAACCTTTCTGCCTCAGCCTCCCAGAATGCTGGGATTACAAGTGTGTGTCACCGTGCCTGGGTATTTGGCAGGGTTTTTGTATCAAATGCTTAGTTTGGCCAAGTTTAGAGAATAGTTTAAAGGGAAAAAAGTGTTTATACTGCTACATATGGCCTTTATATTTGGCTACTTCTTAAATGTATCGTCTGTGATTGAACTCTTTCTGGGAGCTGGGGAATCTCGAAATGGGATTTAAGCCCTCACTCCTTGTTAGTCTGGCAACATGATTTATCTCCAGATGCAGAGTTCAGTGCACAGCTTCATGTTTATGGGACATCTTCACATCTGAATGCTGTTAACATGTTTTAGTGTGTTTATTCAGATACTAAATGGTAAGTTACAAGCAAATTTCACCTTTCTGTTTTTTGGGTTTTTTGTTTTTTTTGTTTTTTTTTGAAAACACTTGAGAGTGCCTGTGTTTAAATCTGCTATATGGAGCTAGAAGTGGTGGGGCAAGTTTGTAATCCCAGCTACACAGCAGGGTGAGGCAGGAGGATCAGAAGTTCAACGCCACACTGGGTAGCTTAGTGAGACCCTGTTTTAAAATTAAATAAATAAATAAATAAATAAATAAATAACTTCTCCTAAAATAGTTTCCCTTTCCCTTTTATATTGCACAGGGCATATTGTCTAGTGGGAATAAATTGGGTATTCTTAGAAGTTCCTAATCCTGTTGGATGTGGTGGTATATTCCTATAACCTCATCTACTCAGGAGGCTGATGCAGGATGTTCACAAATATGAGGCCAATCTGGACAATTTAACAAGCCTCTATCTCAAAATAAAAAGGACTGGGGATACAGTCCAGTGGTAGAGTACATGCCTAGCATGCATGCAGGAGGGCCTTGATTCCATCCCCAGTACTGCCACAAAAAAAAGTTATTGCAGACATTCTTCATTTAACAACTGAATTGCATTCCTACAACCAGGTTATTAAATGAACTGGTTGCTAAATGAGGAATTGTATATAGTACGTACATTACAGTATTCACAACAGAAATGGTCAAAGGAAACTCCATCTTGATGTCTGCTTTTATTTGCATACCTCATACATGCGGTACTGTTACATGTAACAACATAAAACTATAGTACTTTACAGAATAATCAGTGAAAATTATACTACTATATAAACAAAATGTACAAAAAAGACATTGAGGCTCTATAAGATGTTCAAAACTGTACAATAAAAAAGATGGGTCATAAGTCTAAACAGTGAATCTTGCTTATAAGTCTGAATAGTCCTTAAATAGGTTGTTAAACAAGGAATATCTGTAAACCAAAGGTTGAAATTGCTTTTTCTGTAAGTATTTGTTTGGTTACTTTTCTCTCACTACTAAGACAAAATACCCAATACCCAAAAATTAAGGAAGAAAAGTTTTATTTAGCTCACAGTTTGTGGAGGTTTTAGTCCATAATCAACTGGCTCCAAGGTGGGGTGGCATGGCACAGGGCAACAGTTCAAGATGGCAGAAGACAGCAAAAAAGCAACAAGAGCAAAAGGGGGTAGGGAGAAGCCAAGCCTCTTTCTCCCTTTCTATTGTATGCTGGCTGTCTGCCCATGCCATATCCCTGCCCTCTTCCACAGGCTCAGGATGTTTATAAAGTAAGGACCCTGGCCCCCTGCTGAGTTAGACAGCTAAACTTCTGAAGTTGACACAGTATATCAACCATTACCCCTTATCAACTTGGCAACCAGACACATTTCTATAAACCAGTTTCTGGATACAAATTATTACTATCTTTTTTGTTTGTTTGTTTTTTGTTTTTGGTTTTTTTTTTTTTTTTTTTTTTGGTTTTTCTCCGGTACCGGGAACCGAACTCACGACCTTGCTCTTGCCAGGCAGGAGCTTTTGCCGCTGAGCTAAATCCCCAGCCCCCTACTATCTTTTTTTTTATCATTTTCGGAGTCAGAGTGCCCAGTGATCCAGGCACTTGACCCCTACAGCCAGGAGAGAGAAAAGCCTGGTTACTACTCCAGCTGGCAGTAGACCTTGGCATCATTTACATGGCACCGGTTTTAGGTGCATGCAAAATGCAAGAGTTATGGGGTTAAAAAGGCATTATTCTTATCATTTTCCAACTTGAACATTATAACAGGTTTAACAGGGCTTAAGAACCCGCATTAAGTTTCAACATTATGTTACTTTAGAACCATAACATTTTGCTCCTGGCCCCTCAAAGACTCATGCTTATCCCTTTATACAAAAGGCATTTAGTCCATCTGTAAGAATTGCCACAGTCCTAAGTTTCAACATTGCTGAAAAGTCCAAGAAGTGCCAAGTCTCCTCCAAAATGTATGACAAACTCTTAGCTGCAAGCCCCTGTACAAACAGTTACACACTTCCAACATTCAGTGGCACAAAACATTTTTATTCTGAAAGTTACAAATGAGAGTGGGACCAAAGCAAGTCCAAAATCCAGCAGGGCAAACATTAAGTCCTGTAGTTCTATGTGCAGCATCTAAAGCAATCTGTGGCAAATTGTGAGCACCAAAGGGCTTGGATGGCTCCACTGCTATGGCACTGTTAGTGGTTATAGCTCCCACAGCTTTTTTTTAGGCCCATTTTGCTCCCTCCTTGCAGCTTTCCTTAGACTGTTTATGCTTCTGGCTTTTTCAAACATCTGGGGTTTCCACTGCACCTTTGGCTTCTCACTCACAGCTTCACACACTGCCCTCTCAGAGCCACAGTGCCTGGCCTCCCAAGCCTTCTGAAATTGAGGTGGAAGCCTTTTTAACCCCATAACTTTTGCATTTTGTGTGCACGTAAAACCAGTGCCACATAGATGATGCCAAGGTCCGCTGCTAGCTGGAGTAATAATAACCAGGCTTTTCTTTCTCCTGGCTGTAGGGGTCAAGTGCCTGGATCACTGGGCATTCTGACTTCATTTCTGAGGAATAAATTTTTTGCACTGCTGCCATTCTGGAACATGGTGCTCTGCAGGTTTTTTCTTCAAAGCAAAGTCTTTCGCTTGCGCAGTTTTGAGGCTGCAAAGGGTGGAGACTTGCTGTTTTTTGTGATACCCTCAGGCCCCCTTTTTTATTTTCTTGTTTCTTCTCAGCAGTGAAGATCTCAGCTCTATCTTTGTAGTCCATAGCTTTACTGAAGCTTTCCTTTTGGCCAAACTCACAGTGTTTTAAATCATCTTGCTGGGCTCTTTGCTCTTGATTCTTAACATAAATCTGGCTAAAAGCCCCCAACAATAGTCATGCCACCACCTTAACATTTGACTACCTTGAAGTTCTGTCTACCAGATTAATTAGTTTACCACTGTTAATCTCAGTCTCAGGCAGAGTCTCTGGACATGAGCAAAATGCAGACAAACTTTCTGCCAAGTCATAATACACATCATCTGGAGTCCAGCACCCAAGGCAGTCCTTTTTCCCAGCAGAAACCTCCTGAGCCTGATCTTTACCAGAACGATTTCTACCAGCCTTCTGATCTTCTGAGCTCTGACCAGAATCTCCCATACAGAACAGCCTAAGCTATTCCAGCACTACTTTTAGGTGATATCGCTAAACCTTCCCAAACACTTCCCACAAGCCATTCCCAAAGACTCTTAAACCACATGGTCAGATGTAGTCACAGCAATGGCCCCACTCCTGGCACCAAATTCTGTTTTAGTTACTTTTCTCTCATTGCTGAGGCAAAATACTCAACACCCAAAATTAAAGAAGAAAAGTTTTATTTAGCTAATAGTTTGTGGAGGTTTTAGTCCATAATCAGCTGGCTCCCAGGCAGGGAGGCATGGCACAGGGGCAACAGTTCAAGGTGGCAGAAGACAGCAAAAGGAGGGTGAACAAGCCTCTTTCTCCCTTTCTATTGTATGCTGGCTATCTGCCCACACCATCTCCCTGCCCTGGGCTTCCACAAGCTCAGGATGTTTACAAAGTAAGCACCCTGGCCCCCTGCTGAGTTAAACTTGTAAACTTCTCACGTTGACACAATGTATCAACCATTACAGTATTG